ATTGTTGTGTTCAAGTAACTAACAGGTGAATATACATACATACATACATACATACATACATATACTTTATTGATGCTCCCTAAGTGGGCTTTTCAGCTCAATAGAAAAAAAAATACAAATATATAAATTAATTGAGAATGTAAATACAATAATATTATAATTACAAAATATATATCAATAATATAATATATCAACTTAATAAAACGTTTGCAAGATGATGTCTAAAATTCCTGGGGCATTTTAAAGACTTAATGTTATCGTTCAAGGAGTTCCAGAGTTTGGCTTTTACTTTTAAAATACTTTTAAAATACTTTTAAAAGTATTTTGAAGTGTTTGTCTTTTAATTGAAATGAAATGTATCAGAAATGTAACACAACAGAAATATTATCCTAAAAAAAGCAGCACGTGTACTTGTAAATAATGTTTATCAGTCAGAGAAACAATCATTTCACTTAAAACCAGTGTCTACAAAATGTTTGTTGCAAACTAAAAAAACAGGTATTATTAATGTTTGGTATTCAGTAGTAATTTCCACTGATGTGTGACAGGAAATTGTTCATTTTATTCAGATTTGCACTGACTCCACTATTTTTGTTTTGTTGTTGAATGTTATGCTGGTTATAGTTGGTAACTCTAGAAGAAAGGCAGTTATGGTTTCTTCAGTGATCGGAAGAGTGCTCTTTCCTTGTGACGCTAGCATATCATGCAGGATGTCGTTGAACAGGGTCACTGTGATCTTCGATTCTTTAATTTGTACCAGTAGTTGTACATAACATTGTTCAATGGTGGACTTCATATTCTGCTTGAGCCCACAAGTTGAACAGGTTAGTATGGGAGACGTCTCTATTACCAGCTTTTTGTTACAGTTGCAGCAGGATTGATATGCATTGACACTTTGCACTCCAAGTATTTCTGCTGCTGCTGTTGTATTGGTAAAGTTCTGAGGTAGCTCAGCAGGATTAATGAGAGGTTGTGAAAATGGCTCAACTTCTGTAATTGTGCACCCTGTTTTGGGGGTACTCAAATATACGCCATTTGAGTTGTACTCCTTCTTTACTTGGAGATTTTGAAAGTTATAAGTTTTTCCTTCTTCTAATCCACAGAATTGTTCCCAAAGTGTCACCTTAATGGCTCCATGTGGGTCCACAAGAT